TTTGGTCACTTCACATGACCCTGGGACACTGTGACCGTCATAAATATGAATCAGTTGCCAAGCATCTGAATGTAAATCACAAGACCCTGGAGATGCTGCAACATTCCAGCTGATCGGCGCTTCTTCTGGGCTCAGCAGAAGCACCAGGATCAGTGCTGCTTTCCAGCTGATTGGTGCTTCTTCAGGGCTCAGCAGAAGCGCCAGGATCAGTGCAGAGCTCCAGCTGGAGCCTGCCGCTGATCCTGGCGCTTCCGCTGACCCCTGACAGCCCTGCAGCTCCAGCCGTCTCTCGCTCAGGCTTGTGTGGTGCTGCCACCGGTTCAGCTCATTCCCCTCCCCTGCTATCACTTTTCTAGGATGGTCGCGTACCACATGCCAGGTGCCAATGTAACACAGGTGGTACCCGTATCACTGGTTGAAAAGCCCTGGTCTAGTGCTATACCACTGAAGATGCATAGCATGATAAACAGTAAGATAGGAATATTTTAAATAAAGTAATGTTTTTTGACTGTCTTAAGAATGAAAGAATGAAACTCCTGCAGTGTGGTATCTTTAATTTCTTTTTAAATCTATCTCTCATTGTAAGCGTTAATTTGGGGACAGGAGTGTTAAAATGCTTATTTGTATTAAATATTAAAATGGAAGGAAGCATTTAGTTTATTATAAAATAACATGAATTGAATATATAAAGATACTTCAATGAAGAAATTTAATTTGAATATCTGTTCAAGATACAGTTTTTATTTGCTTGTTTAAATTGTAACAGTTGTCATATGACATTTCTGAATGTACAGTGCATTCAGAAAGTATTCAGACCCCCTTCACTTTTGTCAGTTTTGTTATGCTGCAGCCTGATTCTACCATTGTTGAAATTCATTTTTTTTCTCATTAATCTACACTCAGTACCCCATAATGACAAAGTGAAAACAGAATTTTATAAATGTCTGTAAATGTATTAAAAAGAAAAAACTGAAATATCACATTGGCATAAGTATTCAGACCCTTTGCAACAACATGTGAAATTTAGCTCAGGTGTCTCCCATTTCTCTTGATGTTGCTGACATGTTTCTACACCTTGATTGGTGTCCACCTGTGGTAAATTAAATTGCTTGGACATGATTTGGAAAGACACACACCTCTCTATAGAAGGCCTCACAGCTGAGAATGCATACTGTAGCAGAGAAAAAGCCATGAGGTCAAAGGAACTGCCTGCAGAGCTCAAAGACAGGATTATTGCAAGGCACAGATCTAAGGAAGGCTACAATAAAAGTTCTGCTGCACTGAAGGTTCAGTGATATTCATTCCCAATATCATTTTCCTCTTCTTCAACTTTATGCTCTTAAATATTCTGGGTTCTAATTCATATATTTTCTAGCAGAGCTCTTTTAAGTTTGTGGCAGTGTTCTTTGTTATGAATAAGATTTCCATAGAAGTTTTTATGTAAGAGGAGATGCAGATTTTTAGATAAGGAAAAGCAATACCTGAGCTATAAAGCTCCACCCCAGGATTTAATTTGACCCTTCTTGAAACATCATAACATTGCCCTGGTGAAATTTGACTACAATAATGTCAAAATAAAGGTTGGAATGTGGATGCAATACCTTTAGGAGGGAAAATACAGTCATTCCTCAAACTCCCTCAAACTGGGGGAAAAAACCATATAAGAATGGGCCCAGAATTGTGACTTGAATGACTCCTGTAGCCCATTGTCCCATGAGGAGTGTGAGTTGCACACCAAAAAAGGCTGTATGCTTCAGCTGAGGTAAGTCCCAGATCCCAAATATATGAAGTGGTTTACAGTCATTCTTCTGAGATTCTGGTAAAATGTCTATTATATTTTTAGATGTGTACTAAATTTGATTGTAAATTTGAGGCTTCAGATTAGCAATCTAGAAAGTCCTTCTGTCCTTTATGCTTTTGATCTGTTGGTATGAATGACTATTTGTTGTCTGGCAAACCAAGAAAAATATTAGCGCTATGTCTACAAGAACAGGATTTAAACACTGCACATAAGAGTACATTAATGTGCAGTACAATGATACAAAACAAGCTGAGCTGTATGACAAAGATTTCCCAATCACAGAGACAATAGAGAGACTTGCACCTGCAAATTATTTGAATATTTTATCATGGGCATTAATGCACATTAAATATGTTTTAAATTCCCATTTTTCAAATTTTCTACCTACAATGAGTTCTCATGTTGACCTATCTGTTTCGGAATCCCACTGCATTGAATAAGATTGTGTGTTGTTGTAGAACACAGGGGTAGTGGCAAGGCTTGTAACCAACATATTGTTTTAACTAAAATATACTCTAAAATACAGGCAAGATTCTAATTTGAAAATTGTAACTGCAACCACCACTTCTCTCAACATTGAAGAAAAGATATTGATGCACACTATTGTGCACTATCAATAACATCATTTTCTATGATGGACAGTGAGACTATTGGTAGGATGTCATATACCAGTTCCGTCCCCCATGTTGCATTGGAGAAAAGTTATTGGTGCACTTTGTGGTGCTCTACCAATGATAACATTGTGAAATTTGCCTTATTTATCTTAATTACTCTAACACAGGACAGGACAGTGGTTCTCAATCTTTTCTTCACCACAGACCCCTTTTAAATACCACCAAGACATAACTCAAGATTTAAATCATAACATTTCTTCAAGCCTTCGCGGACCCCCAGGCCACAGGTTGAGAACCACTGGCACAGGATGGTAGCTGCAGTGACTCACTGATAATCGGGTAGCTTGTGAATTTGTGAAATGTTGTTACTCATCTTACTGAGGAACTTTTAATATGAAGAATTCTAGGGGATCTCTGGAACACAGAAAACTCCTACTCCATACTTTTAATTAATGTATGATAGACTGTATCATTTGGCTTACATTGTTGAAAAGTACATAAGAGGCAACTTTTCTGGGGTTAAAATGTTTATTATTTTCACTTCCAGTGAGTCAAATATTGTAAGTATTTGGAATAATGGAAAAGGTATTCCTGTTGTGGAACATAAAGTGGAAAAGATGTATGTTCCTGCCTTAATTTTTGGACAGCTGTTAACATCCAGTAATTATGATGATGATGATGAAAAAAAAGTTACAGGTAATACACTTCGTTCAGCATAACCTATATGATTATTTTTAAGTAGTAATAGCAATTTCATGGTATTTCATGTTTTAATTCATGGAAGTTAAGAGTTTTGTAAGTGGAACCAAGTGGAAGATTTAACTTCACATTCCTGCTGCAAATTCCAAAAGTGCTACAGTAGTTGTTTGTTAAAACACAATACAGGTGAAACTCGAAAAATTAGAAAAGAGGACTTTGGACCACTAAGCAACAGACCAGTTCTGTTTTTCTTTAGCCCAGGTAAGACGCTTCTGATGTTGTTTGTTGTTCAGGAGCGGCTTGACAAGAGGAATACGACATTTGCATCATTACATGCAAGGCAAGATAGTTCAAGCCGTGATGTGTCATAAGTAAGATGATTATGGCTTACAGCTCAT